GAGAAAAAATATTGAACTTCAAATTAGTTTGGCGTTTTTTTAATCTGCATTAAATAACTGATGATGTGATGTTTGCTGAAATCAATTGGACAGCCCCCCCTACAAAATGTTCCACCAGCCACATCTGGATCTTTGGACGTCTCCTGTGTGTCTCATGGACCAACAGCAGCATGAAGGTATCAGTGAGTCCACAGAGACACTTGTGACTCAGGGAGCCCAGCTGGTGAACGCTGAGCCCTCGTTGTGTGTGATGGTCAGTTAGTTTAGTTTCATCAGGACCAAACTGACTCACCTTCAGACATCACAGCATGAATGTAAGTCAATGGTGACATGAAGTGTCAGGGAGACTGTGGGTGTAGAGTCCAACCAGAGGATCAACGGTTCCATCCCAGGCGCTCTGAGGGGTCGGGAGAATAGAAAAGCACTTTGCTCTTATATTGTTTCCTCTTTCAAAAGAATAAATTGTACTTTTGAATTTAACGTTTTAAAAAACGAACACAAAAGATGTTATTAACCTTCACCAAAAAATAGCATTACATTTTTAAATACTCAGGGAATGTTATTGATATATGTAAGTTTCGTTTTTATTTTTTATCCTATTGTTACACTTTTAAAAGAATTGTATTTTTACTTTCCACATTCAAATCACAAATCAAAACCCATTAGCTGCTTTTAATGTGAGACCAAAATTGTGTGTTTTATTTATTATCTTTTCTATCTCATGAAGGTGTCACGACTCCTCAGGCGATGTTCGCAAAATCAAAGTTTATTAACAAAAGGCAAATGCCGCTGAGATGAAAATCACTCTTGATGGAGGAAAAATCCCAGAAGGATCTAGAAAATGAAACTAAGCTGAAAGAGGAATCAAACAGAAAGAGACCCTGAACAAGGTACGAAAAACGTGGTAAAGCTGGACGATGGACGTGGATACACGCTGGTTCTCTGTGACACGGGAACAGGACAAACGGAGACGCAGACAATATACACACAAGGTGAAGACACAGGTGGAAACATCAGGGGAAGGACAGACAGTGGGACCTGCACAAAGGGGGGAAGAAGCCTGAAACGAGAGGAAGGTCGGTTTTCAAAATAAAACAGGAAATCACGAGACACAGACACGAGACAACTTGATTAACACCTGGACACGACAGAATGGTGGTTATTTAAATATATAATTTTATTTATTTATTTTATAAATATATATATTTATGTACTACTGCAGTAGTTCCCGCCACCGTTAAACAGAATAAAAGCGTTTTATTAAAAATATATGTAAATATACTTGTGATTTTCTATTTATGGCACAATTCTATAACTTCATCAGGTATCACAATAATAATCAAAATACGATCTGAAACAGTTTCCCACTTGTGGAATCAATCCAGATGATCAACAGTGAGCACCAGTGACATTGAAAGGAGGTGAGGCGTATTCTACTTCTACTTCTAGTCTACTCAAGTACAAGTACTGTTACATTGCTTAAATTGTACTCAATTAAGTACTTCAGTAAAAGTACAACGTACTCTTCTCAAAAACTACTCAGAGTACAAATTACTTGCAAACGGCAAAACAAATCCAGCAATAAAACGCTGCAAGAGAAAAATGCGGCAATCACAAAAACGACCGGAGAACACGTGACGAATAACTTCAAAACGCGTGCAAGAGAGAAACGCTGCAAGTTCACTCGAAACACAACGGAAGTTCTCCAGCCCACTGGGGGGTCTCGACCTGTGGGACAGCGGATGGACTGTGGGAGATCGGTAACTCCAGGTACGGCCCCCGGGCAAGTCGTCCTCCGTCTTTTGTTCATTATTGTCCGTGGTCACTTCTGTCTCCATTTAGGCTTCTTTCTCAAACTCTCAGTCCTTCTCAGTCTTTACAGCGCTGTGTATTTTACCTCCAGAAACATTTACCTGCTGCAGCTATATAGTTGTCCTTTGCTTACATTACGTCTCAGAATAAGACGGGCGCCATCTGACAGCCAATAAGGATTTGCATTGAAATCTGACTGTTTAAATATTATTTTAAATTGTGGGCAAACTCAAAAGCGACTTTTGATTGTAAAAGTAGCGAAGTAGATTACAAGGTGTAAATTGTACTCAAGTATGAGTAAAATTACACACTTGAAGAAAATACTCATAAAAGTACAAGTGCCCAAAAAATCTACTCAATTACAGCGACGTGAGTATTTGTAGTTCGTTACTCCCACCCCTGCTTCTAACTTCTGTAAACCAACCAGGTTCTCTGCATCTGCACCACTGCAGTAGTTCCCACACCTTTTCTGTCGGGGCCCCTTTGAGGAAGCAGACGGTTTGGCACTAAACTGATTACTATCAACAACTTCTCCATTTACACTATATGAGTCACGGCCCAATAGGGCGATGAGCCAACACGCTTGAACCCCAAAGACGTGAAGCTTTATGATTGGTCGGTAGAACAGTAGAGTGGGAGTTTAGTCAGTCTATTTCATTTCTGTAAGAGTGTACTCATAATCAGATGAATGGTGTTTCAGGTCCTTCACACGTGTGAACGCACCTTCACAGAGAAAGAGAAAGAACCAGCACGTGGTCTGAGACCGTTATTTTATTCTTAACTTTGTAAATGAGTTCTGATGAACTTCACAGACTGAGGAGTTTACTTGTTGAAGAGATTCAGATCACAGGACTCAAGACGTCCAAGGTAAGGAGAGAAGGACTTCATCGATAACACAAGATATTTACGGTTAATAATATTTGTTTAGTTCATTAAATATAATTAACCTGTAAAAAGATGAAATGCATTGATCAGATCAGAATTTAACCTGATCCATCAAGATAAAAAACAGCTAACTCACAACTGCTCTGCACTTTAGCTTGTTAGGACTTCACTTACTGTTACTGTACTGTTTTATATTTATATTGCACACATTTCATTTAATATAAGTTTTTTTTTACAACCTGCTCAGTTTTGCGCTTTTACCTCATTTCTGCCTTATTTTTATTTTTATTTCATGTACATTGATGTAAATATTGTATTTTTATTTTAATTTTAAAATTGGTCGGCTTTCCAGTAAAGGCAAGCACAATAATTTCAATACACAGCTCGTGTGTAACTGACAATAAAACATCTTTGAATCTCTGAGTAAAGAATCCTAATCAGCCTCATGAGGTTGTGTGTGTTCCCTGTGTGGTGTTTGTTATACATTTCGGTACGTAGATGTTCACTCTGAGGTCTGTGGAGCCAAATGCAGAACACGAGCTTTGAAACTCGAGAGATTCATGTGGTCGTTGAACGATACAATCTGAGACAGTTTAGTGATTTTATTCTATGATTCTGACGAGTAGAGTCCAGAACAGCCAAACAGAACTTGGTTCCTGGCGTCAATGGTTTCACATCATCCTGAATACAGTGTGTAGAAAGTGTTGATCCTTAAGTCTCTTTGTTCCTACGTCTCCTGAAGGCAACGCGGTTGACGGTTAAACTCTGCACCAGATCAGGAAATAAAGTCTGAATCTGCAAAAGGAAGATCAGGGAAACAAAGATGTTCAATTTAAAAAAAAATCTGACACTATACGATTTAAATCTGAAGATATAAAATCTGTAATATAATACTGCGAATATACAAAAAATATATAAATAAGTGGAGAATGAAAAAAAAATTTTTATAAAAAAAAAAAGAGGAACTGAGTCTAAACCGTTCAACCCAACTTTTCGTCCACATATTTTTATTTGATAATTGTATTTTTGAATGTTCAAGATCAAGTCTTTCAGGTTCCCATTTCTTTTTCAAATGATCAAAACCTTGATATCAAGCCCTTGTTTTCCCTCTCGGCCAACGGCTCGTTACTCAACAAGCACACGTGACCGTTGGAGGATTTTGGTGAAACATGAGGAGACCTGATCAGTGCAAGTGAAGCAAAACCCAGAGGACACAAGAGACGACAACTCTTCAACCAAGAAATGAAGAGGAGGAAAAGGGAAAGAAAAGACAAGTCAAGACAAAGTCCAGTTGAGAACGGCTGGTTTATGATCCAGCCAAGAAAATAGTGTAATGCACTGATTGTAGGACGTGAAAAGGTTGAGCGGGTCTCTTGTTGGGACAAGAAACTTCACATCGCAAACAATAAAGGACCATGAAGTTTCCATCGGCCATGTGAAAAGCATTAACGATTAAACAAAAGTACCTCTGCACCAGTTATATGCAAAAAGCTACTCGTTTTGTCTTTGTCTTAATCAGTTGCAGATGTTACACACTTTATAAAGCTCCTTATGTATAAGTACAGGTGACCGTACACGAACATCTTGTATTTGGCTATGAGTGAAACATCTCCAGGAAAACCAGCTTCACTTTGTGGTTGTAGTTCTCCTGGAGGTTGACATCAGCATGAAAGCTTTGTGTGTTTGTAACAAGCATGATGAAGAACACAAAGAGCATCAGGATGTGAAGACACACTGTAGATTGTTGGTGTGATGATGATGTTTGAGCCTCTTCTCCTCTGTCTCCTCTCACAGGGAGGAGATGATCTGCAGCATCCTGGTGATCTTCATCCTGACCTCCTGTGTCTGTGGTCGGTTCACTTTTGTGTTTGTGAAGCAGCTGTGAAGCATCAGCACACACTCCTCAGGAACATCTGGAGATGGAGTCTAAAGGCTCCATGTTAAAGCTGTCACTTTGTCACCTCCTCCTCTCCTTCTCTGTCTCCTCAGCAGGGTCATTTGTAGTGAATGTGACACAGAGCTGGTATCATGCAGAGGAGAACCACAACATCTCACTGGAATGGATGTTCCCCACCAGCACGGACCCCTCCCCCAACGCCCTTTATGTCTCCTGTGAGATGTTAATTAATCAGACACACTCACTCATGTTTCATCTGTATGAAGGTGTCGAGGTCCCAGAGCTGCAGGATAAACGCTTTGCAGGACGAGTCCAGTGGGACAAAGACGTCCTCAGAGAAGGACGACTCAGACTTCACATCTCCAGACTCCAGACTAATGACTCGGGGCTGTACTGGTGTGAAGTGGACACAAGTTATGGGAAGAACTATAAGGAATGTCACCTCAATGTCACTGGTAGGTTCATTAAGTTAAACTTACTAACACGTTTAATTCAGCAGCTTTATTCAGATAAATAAACCTTTTTCTTTACATGAATAAACCGATTTGTTGTGTCTCTTTGCAGCAGTGAAGGATCGACCCGAACCTGAGACAACGAGTGACACCAGTCTGAGAAGGATTGTTCTCTACTGTGTACTGGGACTGACAGCAGCTCTACTGGTTCCTTTATTTCATCTCTGCTTTGCAAACAAGACCAGTGATCAGCAGAACAAACGATACACCAGAAACACAATTCAAGTTATTGATCCTTCAAGTGTTTGTACAGAAACAGTCTGAGTTGTTCTGACTGAAGTCAACGGGGTCGTTGTGGCGCAGAGGTTAGAGAAGGAAGTGTCAGGGAGACTGTGGGTTTAGAGTCCAACCAGAGGATCAACGGTTCCATCCCTGCTGACCCGCGTGTTGATGAGCCCTTGAGCAAGACACTTAACCCAGCATTGCTCCTGTAGCTGTGACCACAGAGTGAGAATGGAGTGAATATTAGTTACTGACGGCAGGAAGATGCTCATCAGTGTGTGAGAGGATCAATGATCTTATATATTTATATATAATATATAAGACGTAAGTTGGAGGAATGGATGAAAAAGTGGACGTTAAAAGTAATTTGTGTCATTGTGTAACTTCTCAACCTGCATCACTGAAAGTGTTTTTAATTTTTTTAAATCTGACTGAGATTCAAAGGAAATCCACAATCTTTACAGACTGAAGTGTGACCAAACTGAAATATATATATTTTCAATAAAGCATCTTAAAAACTCAAATCAGTGTCTTCATTTGTCGTATTAATTCAATAAGTCACATAGTGATCAAATCCATCCTCAATAATACAAACGTGTCACATGAAGGTAAATGTTAAGAGAGAAGCAGATTAAATACACACAGCATACAAGGTACACACACTTCTCAGCATTCTGTCTATACAGTGAACACTCTTTTATTTCATAATGTGATCACTGAAGAGGTTGTTAATGCTGCTACATGTCGTGATTATTAGTGACCATTGAAAAGTCCTGAGGAGAGTTCTCTAAAGTGAGAAATAAGCTGTAGGCTGACTTCTGAGCGGACCGACGGCCTGCTGGCCGGGTCCTCTCGTCTCATCGTCTCTCGGGTGAAACCACAAGAACCACTCAGGTTCAAAACAAAAGTGTATCAAGCAGCGAAATCCAGATGAGGTGATTTATGAAATGCGAGTGTGTAAAGTGTGAAACATGTTGGACTGTTGTTCCAGACGCTCGTCCTCCTGTTCAGTAGTCGAGATCATCAGCGTTCACCCTGTTGCCTCGTCTAAGTCAGGAGGGCCGTACTTTAGGCCTCTGTGAGTACATGAATATGTGGTAGAACACCTGTGAACACGCGTGTGCGTGTACTCCAGTGCTGTGGAGTCAGTTTACGCTGTGAATAAACAATGAGGACATGTGAAGGACAGACGTTATGAGGCATGATGGGACATATCTAGCAGCTTGGGGACCAATGGGTGTCCATCAGGGAGAAGATGTTCAACTAGAAGACGATACCTGTTCCATCCACCAGGGGGCGTCACGTGATCACACTACTAACTACTGATAACAACCAGGTTCTCTGCATCTGCACCGCTGCAGTAGTTCCCACACGTTTTATGTCAGGGCCCCTTTGAGGAAACAGACTCATTGCAAACCTGCCCCCCACCCCCCGAAAAATAGGGACGCTCCTCTTGTAAAGCGAGGTATTTATTGGCAGTCACACTACTAACCACAGTT